CAAGGGGCACGTGCCTGCGATCCCTAGAAGCTGCGTCAGGAAGATGCCACGGTTGAAGCCAGCCTCAGCAATTTAGTGAGACAGTTGCAAAATAAAAATAAGAAAGAGAAATGGAGTTCGGAGCTGGAGGTCCAGCTTAGTGAGTGGCAGGGTGCTTGCCTGGCCTAGGTTCAAGCCTCATTCCCACCCCCACCCCCCACAAAAAAGCTACAACAAAAAACCAGGCAGCTTACAGAGAAAGACACAAAACTGCGCCCGCCCGTCTGCTTCCTCAGCCAGACTGACACCCTGTGACCGGGTAAGAACTCGGCGTCAGCTCAGTGCAGATGCCGCAGAATCTGTTGTTGGCAGCTTGCATGGTGGACACGGGTTCCTTCCGGATGCTGACCCCCCAGAAGCCTGCAGACTTCCCAGCCTGCGGGACACACACAGCCGGACCCTCAGCTGGTGCTCGGCTGGCTGTCTGGCAGCCATCAGGGTTTATTGCAGTGGTACCGGCTTCCGGGTGCTGGGCTCAGCTCCGCGGTGTTTGTTTAAAGCGAGACCTTCCGGATTCTGGGTTACCCTTCACCCCAACACCACGACCTGCCTCTGGCCCCCTCCTCGGGTCTGGGTGCGCCACTCGGGCGCAGCTTCCCACACTCGCCGGCCAGCGGCGGCCCGGGAGGCCGGCCAGCTCCTCCATCTTTCCGGGCTCTGAAACTCGATCCTTCTCCGAACCGCAGTAAGACCCAGAGGGGTGGATCCGGTCTCTGCGTGGCACACAGCGCAGGGCGACAGGACCGTCCTTCGGGAGAGTCCCAGGGCAGGGACGGTGTGCGTGTCCACCGCTGGGGACTGGGAAGTAGGTCTTGGCCAATGCCAGCCACCCTTGCCAACCGTGAAGGGAGCCACCGACACGGGATGACAGCCAGGGTGCCTGGGGAGATCCGAGTGGCAGCCGGAAGTGGTGGTGGCGTCTGTAATCCCGGCGCTTGGAGGCTGACTTCCAAGAGCAGAAGGCCAGCCTGGGTCACACCGTGAGTTCAAGACCAGCCTGAACCGCACGGAGAGCCCCTGTCTCCAGGAAAAGCACGGGCACAAAGAAGTGTCTGAAAAAAATGCATCTGAAGGGACAGTTCTGCGACACTTTATTTTCAGTGAAATACAATCTCTTCCCAGGTAGCACACATATCTGCAGTCAGAACTGCCCAGTAGTTTACACATGCGTGCCTGTTCATTTTCTTAATGTCCAACTTATTTAGTTGAAAACACTCCCCCCTCCACTCTCTGTATGTGTGTCTGCCATTGCTAAAGAGGATAAAATAGAAACAGGGAAAAGAAATGGCCAGATGTCATTTGCCAGGCACAGCAGGGCTAGGAGGCAGGAGCAGGGCACTGGACGACGAGCCCGAGGTTCAAGGCCAGCCTGGGCCACATAGCAAGACCCACTTCTGAAGCAGGTCACGGCTGCTGATGCCAGCCCATGAGGTGTCGGGCTGTACGAAGGATCAGGGTCCATGGCCTCTCCATGTGGGAGCAAAGCCTGGGGGTGTCCACTGGGAGGTGCTGCGTCTGTCCGATGCCTGCACCCCAGCAGCAGTCTGGGGGGATGAGACCGCTTGCCTGTGTGGGGACCAGAGCTGGGCATCCCTCAGGGCTGACTGCTTCTTTATGACCTTCGGTGGACTTTGTCAGGAGCAGGAAAAGCCAGCACCGAGAGTCACCTGTGGAGCAGCCGATAAACGATACGTCATGCTTGTGATTTCATCCTGGGAGGGGCAGAGTTGGGGGGCAATTGACTTAGGTCAAACTCCAGTTCCAAGAGAGCGGTGGGGTCACAAGGGCTGGGACAGGATGGGAGGCCCGTCCTGGGGTCCAGGGGTCCATCTGATGGACAGCCCTCGCATTAGAGGCTGGCACCAGGGAGGGAGCAGGGTCAGGCAGGGGGAGTCCCACCTGGAGACCACGCGCGCCCTGCAGCCCTGTGTCTGAGGATTCTCATGTTAACTGCTAAGGGATGTCCACACTCCTCCTCTTGGGCCGGGTTCTGAATGAGAACAAAGTGAGGTGCTGGTGTTGGTAGGGGGACAGGGGCTGGCCATCACCCCGTGACCCAGTGAGCAGGTCACTGATTCAGACACAGAACGCCCAGGCCTGTTCATATCTTTGTTGTGGAATCGACTGAGGGGTTTGTGGTAACCCACACTTTTTGAGAACAAAGATGCCCCGTGCGGCCCTACAGAAGGCACGTTGTCTGCACATCACACACCCCGGGTCCTTCTCACGGAAGCCACCCTCATCTGACCCAGCCTCCTCCTGCGGACCCCCAAGCCCTTCACAGCCAGGCAGGCCCCGTGCCTGGCACGGGGAGAGGGTTCACCCTGCTTGCGCCTCCCTCAGAGGCAAGGGGAGGTGGGGGTACCAGGTCCTCTCAGAGGACGCAGGGACTGGCTGGAGCAGCAACGTGTCCACCCTCCTCCTGAGGACAGACGGAGACAGAGCCGCAGCTGTCAGCTCCTTCCAGAGGGCCTGGGTCTTACGGGTCTGGTCAGGCAGGGATTTGCAATCTGTGAGAAGTCCGTCAAGCACAGCCTCGCTCTGAGGCAGGGAAAGCGACATTGCCTTGGTTTCCTGTGATTGCCCTGCCCGGTGACCGCAAAGGCAGTCCTCTCCTCTCCTGCAGGCCAAGCCCAACTGTGGTAGGCCAGGCTCCCGTGAAAGCCAAGGGGAGGGCCCTCCTGCCGCCCGGCTCTGCAGGGTCCCAGGCGCCCCTTGGCTCCACTCTCTGCCTCTGAATTCACAGGACCTTCTCCCCAGATCTCCGTGGGCTCTTTCTGTCTCATCGCGTGGGGTCTATCCTCATCAGATATGAGCTTATCTTGCTTCTTACCTATGGAGACCCTACTTCCCCAAAAGGCCATGTCCAGAGGCTCCAGTGAACACGAAATTTGAGGGGACACTCCATCCCCTGATGATCGATACTAAAGCAAGCCGTGGTAAGGGGGTCATGGGGAACCTGGGCCCTGACCCTTAGCTCTGTCTGCAGTGCAGACCTCTGTTGTCCCATATCGAGGGTGTCCAGGTAGCATCTCTGACCACCACCGTCAACTTGCAGTCTGGGCTCCTGGCTCCCTTTTACAGATTTGGAAACTGGGGGCCCCCCCGGGTTAAGCGAATGGCCCAGATGGGACAGCTGAAAGGATAGCCCAGAATCCAGACTTGCCAGTAGGCTCTAAGATCCTCCCACTCCTCGGACTGGAGCCGCTGTCAAACGGCAGAGGGCTTCAAAAAAAAAAAAGGCAGAGGGCTTCACCTTGTCACTGCGCTCCTGGGCGGCCTGGGAGCTCAGATTTTGGAGGGTGCCCCCTCCATTCTGGGATCACTCAAGGGAATGAGGGAGCCTCCAGGACTGATGCAAAACAGCCTGCACTGGGGGGTCAGGGCGGACACGGGCCCAGCAGCGACCTGACCTCTCCTGAGCTCCTGCTGCTCCTGAGGCGACCAAGAGCCCTGGGGGTCCTGGGGAAATGCGTCCCGCGGTGGAGGCAGGGCTGCCAGAACCTCTGCTGCCCAGAGCCTTGTGTCGTGGTGCCTGCTCCACGCGGGGTCCAGGGATTCCTGGACTGTCTCCTGGAGGACCCATGGCTCCTGACCCATCCCAGAGCCAGCGAGGGCGAGGCTCCCCGGGGAAGGCGGGGCTCAGGACCGGCTCATTTGGGCAGGCCAGGGAGACACAGGAGGTCTAGCCCCGGGACACCAAGTAACGCCTTCTGGGAAGAGAAGAGGCAAGTTGCTCGCCCCTGCGCCTCAGTTTCCCCACCTCTGAGCGGAGGGTCCGAGTGGTGGCATTTGGAGGTGCGCGGCTCCCTTCCCCCGCCCGCAGCCGGGCGCCAATGCCAGGCCCTCTGTGAGCTCACTTCTCGCAGCCCGGCGCTCATTATTACCCTCAGTTTCCCCAGGAGGAGCCCCTCCTCAGAGAGGCCAAGTGACTGGCCCAAGGTCACACAGCCCAGTGGGGCACGGAGCAAGGGCGAGGACCCGGGGCTGTGGAACCCCGCTCCGGCAGCTCTCCCCAGCCCGCCATCGCCCCTCTGGCAGCGCGCTGGGGCATAAAGCAGCGAGGCCGGGCCCCTAGCTTCGCCCTGAAAACAAGGATCCGTGTACATCTGCGGGAACAAAAGCGATCAGAAATCCGCCCCGGGTTTTCCGCCTCGCCGACCTGCGCCGACCAATCCGAGCGCGTCGGGCCCCGGGGGCTGGGACGGGGCGGGTCCCGCGTGATCGACAGTCCCCGGCGGAGGCGTGGCCGCGGCTCGGGCGAATCGGCTGGCGGGGTCCGAACAATCCCCGGCCGCCGACAGGGCGCCCGGCCAATCATCGCGGGGGGCGGGCCCGATCCGCCGGGGCTGTCGCGAGAGGCGGCCGCCCCGCCCACTTGTGCTGGCCGCGGCCACCCTTGCGCGCGGGGGAGCGATCAAGCTGCTCCTGGGCTCCGGACGCCGGCGTCGGCGCTCGGCCCGATCCGTCCGCGGCAGCGCCGGGGCGGGCGTCCGCTGGATCCTTCCGCCGCCCCGCGAGGCCCGAGCGGCGGGCGCCGCGCCCAGTGCTCCCGGCGGCTCCGCTGCGCCCCGCGGCCCGGGGCTAACGGCCGGCCTGGGCGCAGGCGCGGACGGCGCATGGCCGGCGCGGCCCCGGCGGGGGGCGGCCCGCAGTGACAGACCCTGCGGCGCGGGGGGAGATGGGGGCGGCCGCCTCCCGGGCGGAGACGACGACGACAAGGAGCGGCCGCCGCGCCACGGCCGCCGCTGGGCACGGGCACGGGCACGGGCGCGGGCCGGGAGCCTCCCGGTGAGCGGGGGCCCCGAGGCCGCTCGCCGCCGCCCCCGGCCGCCCCCGGCGCGCGCCCCCGCCCCGGCCCAGGCCCAGGCCCCGGCTCCGGCTCCGGCTCCGGCTCCGGCGCGCGCGTTCCCGGTCCCGGCCCGCGCGCCCCCGGTCTCGGCGCGCCCGGGCCGCGGCCCGCCGCGCCCCCCGGCCGCCCCCGCGCGGCCCCAGGCCCCGGGTCGCGGCGCGGCGCGGGCGGCAGCATGGTGGAGAAGCGCTGCCCGCTGCAGAGGGACAGCGTGTACCGCTGGTTTTCGGAGCTGCCGTCGCCGCAGCGTGTGGAGTTCCTGTGCGGCCTGCTGGACCTGTGCATCCCGCTGGAGCTGCGTTTCCTCGGCTCGTGCCTCGAGGACCTGGCGCGCAAGGACTATCACTCGCTGCGCGACTCGGAAATCAAGGCCAACAACCCCGCCGACCTGGGCAGCCTCACCAACCTGACGGACGAGGTGGTGCGCAGCAAGCTGCTAGTGTCGCTGGCACTGCTGGGCTCGGAGCAGCGCGAAGCGGCGGGCGTGCTCTACCGCACGCTCACGCACATCGACTCCATCATCCACAACTACGGGCTGCAGCTCAACGAGGGCCGCACGGGCGATGAGTTCCTGCTGCTCTTCACCATGGCCTCCAACCACCCGGCCTTCAGCTTCCACCAGAAGCAGGTGCTGCGCCAGGAGCTCACACAGATCCAGAGCAGCCTGAGCGGTGGTGGCGGGGGCCCCGGGGGCAAGGGCGCGCCTGGATCCACCTGCCCTGCCTGCCACAAGGTGGGTGCGCCTGTGTGTGCATGCCAGCAGCGTGAAGGAGGAGGGTGGGTGCCCGAGGATGCACCCCTCGCTCCAGTCCCCATCCCGTGTCCATACTCCAGCCTACACTCCAAGCCCATCCCTGGAAACTCCAAATCTGCACACCAGACCAGTGTCACACCCTTGTTTGCACCCCGGCTGCACCTGGAACCCACCAAGTCTGCACCTGCAGCCATGTGTACATCCCGAGCCTCCACTGCTCCCCAGACTCACACCTATAACACCTGTGTGTGCTCCAGACTGCACTGTGCCCCATTTCTGCAACTCAGATCTGCACCCATGACCTCAAGTCTGGTCCAGGCCACCAGTCTAAATCCATATCCCCAAGCCCCACCCCAAACACCCCCCCTCCTGCATCAGGAGCCCCAAAGCAGTCCCCTAATCCCCTACCTTGGATTTCCCTCCGAGGCCCGTGCCCCAAGACTACACACTGGCTCCTATCCCTAGTCCTAAACCATAGCAGGGTAAGGGCATCTGGGGTCAGAGGTTGGGGCTCCTTTGTTTCCTGTTTCTCCCGGGAAGATGATAAGACCTTTGTCCATGTCCTCATGCTCTGGGTGACAGATAACAGTTAAACGTTGTGTCCCCTTGGTTTCTGCAAATCTGGAGCTTATTACTCGGGCTCTGCAAGGTGGACCGGGGCGCTGGAGCTTGGGCCTCGGTAGCTGCCTGTGCAGGTATAGCCAGAGGGCCAGCGAGCGCGCGCATGCATGCTCAGAGTACGATGTGCACGCGGACGTGTGTGCGTGTGTGCGTACGTGTGTACACGGGAGCGCTGCGAATGTGTGTCCGATTGTCTTAGGAAGCCGGCGTCCGTGCCTGGCCAAGCAACAGTTAGTGCAGCTGCCCTGAGGATGGTGGTTCACTCTGGCAGCTCCATTTCACACATGGCCATGCGTTAGCCCCATCAGGATTCAGGCTTTGTCCAGAACCCGGGAGAACTGCGTCACTCAGAGTGACCACAGCCCAGTCGTGTAGTAGTGGAGCCGGCTAGTAAAATCCTGCAAGCTAAAGGGCTCCTCTGACCGGCCATGTGCACTGACGTAGGTCCCACTTGGGATTTCTTTGGAAAGTGGGGGCAGGCGGGGAGGCAGGGGGTCCCTCTGGCAAGGTCCTCTTTGCAGTGCCTTTGAGCTCTTTGAAGTTAAAATTCTTTAACGGACTTCACCTTGCCAGAGTGGCTGAGAAAGCTGTCTGCTTGGCTAGTGGTTGAGTCGTGTTTCTGTTTTAAAAATTTTTTTCCGGCTCTCTTTGAACCCCAGGCTGTGGCTTTTTCCTCCGTAGCGCCTCCCTCTAAGAAGTGGTTGTGGCATGCAGGTTGGTTATTGTTGATGCCTTATCTCTCTGGTGACATTTTCCTCTGTGGCCGGAGCTTTCTCTATGAGTTCTGTTCCCATCTGAGATTCCCTGTTGCATGTGTCCCTGCTCTAAGCAGAAGAGACAGGACCCAGGAAACGCCTTTACTGGCAGTCAATGGTGTTGGGCCATGTGCCGGGCACTGTCACCTGTCTGGGGCCTCGGGCTTGACGGCCAGCTCAGTCCCTGCGGTGGGTCCTGCCTCAGAGCTGCAGCCTGATCGTGCCCTGGCTGTGCACTGTGTCACTGTAAAGGGATGCTTGTGGGGTGTGCAGATGCCTTTCTATGCAGAAGGTGGTGGTTATCATTTTGGAAGGGAGTGAAGGAAATCTGGGGCAAAAGTATCTTTTACAAGAGAGCTATCTGTCAAACGGAAATCCCTTGATAAGGTAAAGGTGCTAATCTATGCCTCTTCCCCGCCTGGTGCCCTGCACTGAATTCACCAGCATGTGACCCTGGCCAGGCCGGTCCTGCTGCCCGCTGTCTCCCTGCTGCAAGGGACGGACGCTTTTCCTGAAGGTGAAAGTGGGGCCCGTGCTCCCTGAGCCCGGCTTCCTCCTCCCCGGCTGCCCTGGCGCTCACGGTTTGTTCTTACGAGGCGCGCGTTGTGTACACGTGCACTGTTGTGTGTGGCAGAGGGGTTTGTGCTTCCTGTGCTGGTTTTTGAGCTGCTGCCTGGGCCTGGCATGGTTTGGGAGCTTTGGAGACTCTGGGAGGCTCCATTAACCCTTCGTGCCGAGGGCTGTGGTAAGCGACCAGGGCCAGGTCCTCGGTGTCACAGTGCCAGGGTTTCATCAAACTCTGTTCCCACTGAGTATGTGTCACTCACAGTCCCAACGCCTTCCCAGCCTTGTGCTCAGGCCTGGCGCTGCTGAACCTCGGCTGGGGACCAGGGCGGGAGCTCGGGACCTCGGGACCTCGGGACCTCAGCCTTGCAGCCTGCTGTCGGGGCGACCCTGAGAAGCCCATCCCTTGGACGGCACGCGTGGCTTTGTCTTGAGCTCCCTGACCTCACTGACAGTTTTGTTTAGAGATAAAGGTGGGGGCTGCTTTTTAGATTCTTTGTCCCCAGTGAAGCTTTCAGTTTTTATTTAAACCTTTACCGTTCTGAGGACCCCAAGAAGTTTAAAAATGTGGGGTGTGATACACAGCATGTGATGGCAAGGCTGGTGACAGGCAGGGTCACCCGAGGTGCCCAATGCCCCGCAGAGTAGGGGCCCTGAGCCTCGGCCTGTGAGGGAGAAGCCGGCCCCCCCATGGCTCGGGTCAGCCTTTTCAGAGGTTTCGGGGCGTCGTTGGTAAGTGTCACCTTTGCTTCTTTTCATGTCACTGTCTCACCCCAAACCCCGTGTTCCTCGCTCGGCCTCCAGCCTGGCTTTCTGTCTCTGGGTTCTCTGCTGATCACCTCACAGGACTCTGCCCTGTGCGACCCAGGCTCCTGCCTGTCGCCTGCACCCTGCTGTGGTGGAGTGGCTGGACCGGGCATGGCGTGCCGGGGTGCAGCTGGTGGTTTCCAGTGCATGGTTCCGTCCTTCACCCCGAGCAGTCCACTGAGCATCCTTGCGGCTGTCCTGAGGGGGTGTCCTCTGGCCTGCCCTGGCCAGACGCAGCCCTCAGGCAGGTGTCAGGCAGCCTGGTGTGGGGAACAGTGGCTTGATTTTATCTTTTTGTTTTTTGTGGTCCTGAGGCTTGAGCCAGGGCCTCGTGCATGCTTTGCAAGCCCTTAGCACTGAGCTACATCCGTGGTCCATTTCACTTTGAGCCAGGGCCTCGCTGAGTTGCCCAGCCTGGCCCAGGTCCTCCGCCTTCTGCCTTGGCCTCCTAGTGGCTGGATGAAGGGCATGGGCCCGCACATCCAGGTTGAGTGTTTCTCAGAGTGCTGGCCGGGCTCACCAGTGCTGCTGAGGGCCGTGATGGGCGGTGGTCTTCCCGGGGGAGGAGTTCCTGCGCTGTCCTGGTGGCCTCTGGCATGGGGCATGCTGAGCATGGAGCTGCTGACTCCCACAGGTGCTAAGGAGGAGCCCGAGGCCTCTGTTACCTACACACACACACACACACACACACACACTCACACTCACACCCCTGGCCCCATGGCTGTGTTCAGAGTGACATGCGGCTGACCCGAGGCTATCACATGAGGGGCTCTGCCAGGCTCTGCCTGGTTTCTCCCTTAACCCTGCCCATGCCAGCTGACAGCCACCTGACCCAGCAGCATCCCTGGGGCAGACTTTGCCTGCCTGCTGTGGCTGCGGAGCGGGGGGACCCCACCAGAGGTATTGCTGATGCGTGCTGGATGGGGCAGCTTTGGGAGTCAGGATACCATTCCTGCAGCCCTGGTGAAGTCCCCAGCACAGGTCCCGGCATCCTCCGTGCAGCTGTGAGGGCTGGCAGAAGCCTCGTGAGGGCAGGACGGAGTGGCACTTCAGGTATCGTCTGCCCTCGTGTAGAAGACGGCCCACAGGGCGTCGTGTGCTCTGGAGACCTGGGGTCTGTGTCACATGGGGTGTGGCTGTCACGTGTGTGCATGGTCTGTGGCCTTGAGCACCCGCAGGAGCAGCCGAGCCGCAGCGTCAGCCCCTGGGTGTCGAGGCTTCGTCCTTCCCGCTTGCTCTGCCTGTGGACGGAGGGTGTTCTCGGGCAGCGGTTTTGTAGTGTGTCTCCATGAGCACCTTGGGCTGCGGAGGGAGCCTGCAGGGAGGTCTGTGCTGGTGCGTGGGTACGTGTGCAGAGCTGGCAGCTGTACCTCCTGAGAACCTGCGGAGCCCCCGAAACGAAAAATGACTCCCGCTTTCGTCCCGCTGCGGGTCAGGTCTTAGGAAAAGGCCCTCTCCGTGGGCTCCAGAATGGCCTGGCTTGGCTGCTTCTGACAGCCGGTCGCTTCCCTGGGCTGGGATGTGCCGATCGAGGTGCCAGCTTGGCACACAGGAAACATTGCCCAGCTGTAGTCGGGTTGATTGTGGACCGATCGAGCAGGAGAGCTCTGGACAGCTCTGCCCTGTGCTGGACTGGAAAGCCCGAAGTTAGCTAGAGGGAGGGAACCGTGCAGGAGAGACGGGCTCTGCCTGAGTCTGTGTCCTGGTGGCTGTGGGCAGGGTCTCTGACCAGCTGCGGGGCCGGGTCTTAAGCAGGTGCCCCACAGGCTCCCCGAAAACCCCCTCCCGCCCAGAGCGCCTTCCTGGGCCTGGATCCCATCCTTGACCTCTGTGCAGCTCCCTCAGAGCCGGGGTCAGGAGCCTGCCTGCCATTTCCTGTCTCTGTCCTCCCCCCCCTCGCCGACCTTTGACCACCACTGGTTTCCTGCTTGGCCTGGAGTTGGTGATTCTCGGACTGACTTTTTAAACAAAACAGAGCTTTCACTGCACTCTGCAGCTCCTCTTCCTCCTCTTCCTCTTATTTTTTTAGAATTTTGGTGCTGGATTTGGAACCCACAGGGGCCCTACCATTGCATTATACCCAGACACTGTTTCCTTCGTATTTTGAGACGGGATCTTGCAAAGTTTCCCGGCCTTTGCCTCCAAGTAGCTGGGACTGCAGGCTTGGGCCCTGGCCCTACCCCGGCGGCCAAGCTGCTCTTGTGCCCTGGGGACCTGAGGTCGCTGTGCCTC